TCTATTTGGATTTTTCATGCTTTTCCTCCAGGCACCTTACACGCACCTTTCCTTCCGCCCATTATCTCGGCGGGCCCTGCCAGTTGCACGCGTTTATTATCTACCTGTGCTTCTGATCAACTTCAGCTTTTATTATTCATTGATATTTCAGACGTTAGAGCCTTTCTTTGTTCTCTTTATTTGTTAATAGGCATTGGAGGCTAAGCCACATGTCTAGCATTCAATGACATTTTATGCATTTTATTCAAGATGTTTAATATACATATGCACACTCATACGCGCACAAAGTACACACACACACACACACACACACACACACACACACACACACACACACACATAGGAAGATGATAAAGTTTTTAAAATAAAGAGAGGGAGATTGAATAATTCACTTTAATCATGAACTTTAATATTAAATTATTTCGATGGATGATTTCAAGTTAAAATTATCCTTGCTTATTTTATCAAGTTAAAATTATCCTTGCTTATTTTATCACATGTTATACATTCTGTAGAGGCTAATTTAATTTAACAATATAAAAAAATTGTTCAAATTTAATCTCAACTTTACGCTTAAATTTGTCTTAGGATAAGATTTAAAAGATTTAAAAGATTTTCGAGCATTTTCTGAAAATATGTACAAAAACATTATAAATTGAGTCTTTGAGTACTAATAGATTATGTAAACAATAAATCGACAATTCCATAACATTGATATGATTGAATGCCCAGCTCTAATCGCATGTTTTTGAATCCGCATTCGTGCCCCACACACGTACTCGCGCACGAATATATATATATATATATATATAAATATATATATATATATATATATATATATATATATATATATATATATATATATATACACACATATATATATGGACAAAAACGAAAAGAAATTGATCGCTCTTTAAAGCACAGAAAATAAGAATGAAATTACTCGAAACCTATCTTTTCGCGTTATACCAGCAATCTTTTGTTAAGTCGTATCCACTATACATAAGATGATTTAAACAAACATTATGCAAATGGTGCACTGCTCTTGCAAATAATTATACGTTTACTGTCATCCAGAGCACAGCTTCACAAAGCCGCGTAGTAAAAAGTTGAGTGGATCGACAGTGGATACCCGCAGCACTTTTGCTAATTCTTTTCTATCTTCTTCACTTCTTCCTCTCTCTCTCTCTCTCTCTCTCTCTCTCTCTCTCTCCACACACACATATCTATATATCTATATATATATATATATATCTCCTTTTTCGCTTCAACGTAAACATCGCCTTCACCTCCGACGCGCGCGACGCCGGACAAGTTTCTCCTATTCTCTTCACGTCTTCCTTCAACTCTCGATTCTCATTTTGTCAGCCGCGCAGGCTCGAACACCCCGAGTATAATGGCGGCTTGAGTGACATACGTCTTCTCTTCTTCTGTCCATTTCATTTTGCATCGATGATTTTAACACCCACCAAATCCGCTGGACTTATCGTGGATCTCGTTAATCTGATAATTGCTTGCCTTTGACACTTTCTCCGTCATGCGTTTGTATGTAAATATGAATATTTCTGAAGTTTCTTGGATTTTTACAACCATTGGCTTCATTAGCGTCTCTGTCAACAACGGGTTTTGTGTTCAATTTTTTTTCTTCTGCATCTCTTGCGTATAATATTAAAAATAGATTTCTTGCCGAAACAATGAATAGTGAAATTATTACAGTTCTCGATAGAATTGCAAATGTGCTTGTACGTAGGATGGCATTTTAATTTAAGAATCATCAGCTCATTTACCGAGAATTCTTAATATTACATTCCGCACGAATGATTAAGCTCGACTAATGATCTAAACTTGTACAGAGCTATCAATTCTCTATTAAGTGGAGAGCAAAAGTAACGATTATAAAGCATAATGAATTTTATGAGCAAATTAAGAAAAAGTTTTTTGTTAATTACACTTTTTTTATATATTAATTATACAACAACTTTTAATTGTATTGTGTTTGATCGATATTTTCGTTAAAAAACAAACAGTTCGAAAGAGAATCAATTGATATAATTAATTGTTAGTTATCATTATTATCGTAATAAATTCAAGATTTTTGTTAATTGTCCTCGCAAATCAATCATTGCAGTTACGAAAAATAGAAGGAAGAGCAAACGAGTATCTAAAGGACAATAGGTGCAGCTTACGTACGTAAGGGATCGAGAAGCTACAATCCTAATGATGCATTGCGTTTCAACTGGTTCACACGCGAATTAAAAATCTCACCATGTTTACGTAAAAATTTCTTTAGAAGTCACGAAGCTAAAGCATATTAGTTTCACAGCGTGATCAATCGAAAAACATTGACCGGATTATCGCTGGCCTCCACAATAGATGAGATATTCGTATAATTTTCAATTTTGAGCTTTATTGCAACAATCGGACAAAATGAAAATCCAAAGAGATCAAGAGAGACACGTTTCACTCTCTCATTGGGATGACATGATAAAGAGAGAGAAGC